CGGTGCAGCCGCGGCCTCTGACCCGCGCTCCGCCCTGTGTCCCCCCAGTCCGCGGCCATCCCTCTGTTCCTGAGAAACAAGGACGTGGCTGCCGAGGCGGTGAGTCCGGGCGGGCGGCGCGTCCCCCGTTCTCCCTCCGCGCTGAACCGCGGGACGAGCCGGCCGCACCTCGTCGCCCGCACCTTGTCGCCCGCAGGTCACGGGCAGCGGGAAGACGCTCGCCTTTGTCATCCCCGTCGTGGAGATCCTTCTGAGGCGGGAGGAGGCGCTGAGAAAGAGCCAGGTGAGCATCGCCCCGCGCTTTCCGGGCGCCGAGCTCACCGCCGCCTGGGAGGCTGGTCGAGTGAAAAACGAACCGACATGAAGTCCGCCCCCGCCGCTCCCATCGCCGGCTCTGCCTCGGTGACTTGGCCTCCAGGTGGAATTTATTTGTGGCCCCCAAAGCCGCCCCCCCCTCCTGCTCTCAGGCTCCTCCCCGGGCGCCAGGGCAGCCCCGCCTCCCCCGCTCTGCCTTCTGGCTCCAGCCCTGTGAGCAGGTGTCCTTTCACGCCCAGGTGCTGCTGTGATGTTTGCATTTCTGAGGGTGGCGATTGCGCTGTTAGAATGGCCCTGAACCCGGTCCCAAACACGTTGTCCCGTGTCCCTGAGCGCAGGCAGGCGGGGACGGGCCTTAGGGAGAAAATGCGGGTTAGATAAACTTCCTCCAGGTGGGAGCGATAGTGCTGTGGGCTGAGCTCAGTGTCAGCGAATTAAGGATACAGAATAAGTAGGTGTCTTTACACAGAAACCTAAATCAGGCTTCTGTATGGATGGCTCTATGAAAATAGGACCAGAGGCTGGCAGGAACCTCACCCCAAATTTCCCCCAGGAGCGCTGGTTTAGTATTGGCTAACTCAGGGTTCGTGGCGCTTTACGGGACAGAGCTGGTTCGTGCTGTGATTAATAACAGTGATTCCGAGCAGCAGTTGATGTGCACTGTGACCAGAGGCTGCTGAGCAAGCCCAGGAAGCCAGGCGGAGGGTCCAGGGTGCATGTGCTCAGCTTGCAGGTCCCCGGCACTGCTCATTGTGTCGCTTCCCCCCACGTGGGCAGGTTGGAGCCATAATCATCACACCCACGCGAGAGCTGGCTGTTCAGATAGATGAGGTCCTGGCGCATTTCACGAAGCCCTTCCCACAGTTCAGGTAAATGGGATGTGGGGTCCCTGTTGGCCATGGGCTGTGAATGTGCCTGGCCTGCTCAGCACCTGTTTCTTGTTTCAGTCAGATTCTCTGGATCGGAGGAAGGAATCCTGGAGAAGATGTCGCCAGGTTTAAAGAACACGGGTAGGTTTGCTTGCTGCTGCTCGTTTCTTTGCTTACTGTTGACAGTGAACCCACGAGGAATGGATGCATGACCTCCGTCTCACAGGAAACTCCCTTTTCAGCAACTGCCCCCTCCCCTAAAAGGTGTTTTCTCCAGGTCAATCTCCCATTTTGCTCACTGGCTCCTTCCCTTCAGCCCTCATGAACCCTCCACTCCATTAAGCCCTGCCCCTGCAGGAGAAGGGAATTTTGGAGTGTGGCCCCCAGCTCTCCCCAGGTGACTGTATGGGGCTCAGGACCCTTGCTCTTGTCACTTTGGGGTCCCTCTAAGTGGCCTTATCCCTCCTGGGTGGCTTCTGACCTTGCCCTGAGCCCCAGACCCACACATATCCACTAGTCTGCCTGTATTTCCCTGAGCGTCTCAACAGCTGTTGCAGAAACGGCTAAAATGGGGCTTGGGATTTTCATCCCTGAACTTGCACATCACCTGGATTTCCCCATTTGTCTGTCTACCCACGTGCTCTTGTAGTCTGGGAGTCGGCCTTGACACCTCACCGTCCCTCCAGTTCCCCTCACAGTTAGCCATCCCCGCGTCCTTTTCTCTCTGGAGCACATCTCTAACCCATCAGCTGTTCTCCATTGCTGGCTCTCCCACTCACTTCTCTCCTGGATCCTGCAGAAACTCTGTTTCTACTCTTGCCCTCTTACAGTCCACTCTCCACATAGCAGCATGAAGCCTTTTCAGAAGGCCAGCCTGATCACACCACTCATTGGAAACTCCTGTGGCTCCTGCGAGCCCTTAAGACAGATCCTAATGCTAGTGCAGGGCCTGTGAGGCCCCCATTCTCCACGGCCACCCCTTCCCACCCCACTTTGCTGTGTGTCTCCTGTAGCCACGCGTTTTCTGCCCTCCTGCTCTGGTCTCTCCTTTCTCCACTGGGATCTAGGTGATGTTTTTGGGATGAGGTGGATACAAAACTTGTTATTTGGAATCACAGATACCCTTAAGATCACAGAGTGGGGTAAATGTTAACTTCGTTTTCCAAGTGGGAACATCATTGTGGCGACTCCAGGCCGCTTGGAGGACATGTTCCGAAGGAAGGCTGAGGGCTTGGATCTGGCCAGCTGTGTGAGGTCCCTTGATGTCCTGGTGTTGGATGAAGCAGACAGACTTCTGGACATGGGGTTTGAGGCCAGGTACTGGATTTTGTACTTGATTGGCTCTGAGTGATATTGGACATGAAAAAAGGGAGTCACCTCATGACTCACTGTCTTCTGTGGCCACAGGTGAATTTCACATCATTAGGTTGTTTGCTCCTTGAAGTTCTACCCCACAATTTAAATTCCAGTTCTTCTTCTTAAGGTGTTTTAATAAACAGCTCTATTGGGATCTATTCATATCTCATATAATTCACCCATTTTATTTTTTACTTTTTTATTTTTAAAAATATCTTGATTCCAGAGAGAGAGAAAGGGAGAGGGAGCAAGATAGAAACATTAATGATGAGAGAATCATTGATCGGCTGCCTCCTGCATGCCTCCTGCTGGGGATCGAGCCGGAAACTTGGGCATCTGCCCTGGCCGAGAATTGAATCGCGACCTCCTGGATCATAGGTCGATGCTCAACGTCTGACCCATGCTGGCCAGGCTAATTCACTCATTTAAAGTGTACAGTTGTTTTTAGTTTCAAAGTCTTATGTCTTAATTTCACTCTCTTCTTTGAATTGTCTCACTTTATGAAAGTATAATTATGTGCTTATATTGGAGAAACTGTGGAAAAATGAGAATGTATCTCACCTCTCTGCAACATCTACCGTAAATATTGTGATAGTGTCTCTTTCAGTCTTTTTCAAGACCTGTTTAGTATCGTAATGCAGTATTTGTCAGTTATGCTGATAAATTAGAGGTTCAGCTTACACCTGTGTTTGTTTTTTTTAAAGCATAAATACCATCCTGGAGTTTCTGCCAAAGCAGAGGAGAACAGGCCTATTCTCGGCCACGCAGACGCAGGAGGTGGAGAACCTGGTGCGAGCGGGCCTCCGGAACCCTGTGCGGGTCTCGGTGAAGGAGAAGGGCGTGGCGGCCAGCAGCACCCAGAAAACCCCCTCGCGCCTGGAGAACCACTACATGGTGAGCACCTGGCGATGCTTTGCCTCGCTCCTGCGCTCAGTACAGTGATGGTGGGGGTCTTGGGTATGGCTCATGGTGGAACACAACATTGCTACTGGGATGAAGATTGTCAATACATTTGTTTTTATTTGTTTCCCTTCCTATGTTGCAGGTGTGTAAGGCAGATGAGAAATTTAATCAGTTGGTACATTTTCTGCGCAGCCATAAGCAAGAAAAGCACCTGGTCTTCTTCAGGTAATGCCTACGGGCTTTGCCATACCCGGATACGCAGGTGCTCGGAGCCCTTGGGTTTGGAGTTCTCTGTTAGGACGGCTCTCAGAGTGGTTTTGGCTGCAAATGACTGAAAACCCAACTTCTGTAAAAAGAAGTCCAGGGGTGGGCAGGTCCTAACATTGTTTTATGTCCCAGCAATGTCAGGGCTGGTGCGTCTGCAGTTGTCTTGGCCTCTCCTTCCTGTATGTCACCACATAGTTTCACCATGACCACTATCACACCCTGTCCCGTCTGCATGGACAGATTCACAGCCGGTGGAGGAGGAAAGGCACAGGGAGGGGACTGGCGGGTGTTAGCCCTGGGGAGTCACAGTGATGGGAAGAACCCGTTACCCAAAGGAGAAGCAGGAGTGTTTGAACATCCTATGAATCTATATTTATGTTACAGGACTATTTCAGTTTAAGTAATTTATCAGGGGCCGGGGGGGCGGGGACAACCCTCTTGGTAGGTCATCTTTAGACAGTGTGGGAATATGTCCTTGGGGTTCTAGCCCATGTTTAGGGGAGTCTGTTGGTAGAGAGGGTTCGGGATTTAGAGCTTAGCTGTGGATGTTCACAGCCATCGGCCTCCTCCCGGGGGATGGGGGCATCACTGCATCTGGTGCTTGAGGCCTCCCTCCCTGTCGTAGGACAGATGGCCCACGACTGAGCCGTCTGTCCCCCTTGCAGCACCTGTGCCTGCGTGGAATACTATGGGAAGGCTCTGGAGGCGCTGGTGAGGGGTGTGGACATCATGTGCATTCACGGGAAGATGAAGTACAAGCGCAACAAGATCTTCATGGGCTTCCGCAAGCTGCCCAGGTAGGGGCCTCGCAGAGATACCGCATATCCAACCACCGCTCCCTTCTGCGTGTCTCTCTGCCTCTAATGCTTCGCAAGCGTTGTTTTCCCTGCTGTTGTCACTGTGATCAGTGAAGACCCGTGGCGATCAAAGTGGCAGCCCCCCACTCACGATGGTGTCTCCTCACTTTGCAGCGGGGTTTTGGTGTGCACTGACGTGATGGCCCGCGGTATAGACATCCCCGAAGTGAACTGGGTCCTGCAGTACGATCCCCCCAGCAGCGCAAGGTACATGTGACGGACGCCACCCTCTGTCTAGAAACCTGGCCCAGAAATACGGGTCTCAGGGAACATAAGCAAAGTGACACGTCAGACAGTGTTTTAAACGGCAGAAATAGGCGAGCGGGCGGATCATGGCTGTGTTGGTGGGGGTGCCACGTTAGGCAGGAGTAAGAGGCATTAAAGTTCCTGCAGAAACGTACATGACAGAAGGTTTAAAGGAAAACAGTACATGACAGCATCTGTGGAAAGTCCAGTTGTTCTCAGTTAATTCTATTACTGATAAATGCTTCCGAACATCAGAGAATGCCTTTAGTATAGACTTCTGAGCAATAATAGTCGTTACTTCCCGGTGGGAGGCTCACAGGTCATCGATTTTTTCTTTTTTATACTTCCCATTGTTTCCCAAATTTTTTACTAAGGCCACGTCCAACCTGTGCCATCAGATAAGCATAAATTTAAACTTTATCGTTCATGTTAAGTGTCTTGCAGAATCTCGTCTGGTTTGCAGTATTTAATTGCTGGTCCTTCCGTTTCCACACTGGTCAGGGCTGAGGCGGGGCTGAGCCATGGAGTCAGGTGGCTCAGGGCCGTGTTCTGCTCAGCCCCGACACCTGGTGCGCGTGTCCCGTTCTGTGTTCACAGTGCGTTTGTGCATCGCTGTGGCCGCACGGCCCGCATCGGCCATGGCGGCAGTGCGCTGGTGTTCCTCCTTCCCATGGAAGAGGCCTACGTCAATTTCCTTGCAATCAACCAGAAAGTAAGCTGTCTCCTCTTTTCTCACAGATGCCCAGGACGGGCACGTGGTCAGGAACTTAGGTCGGGGGTTGCATACTCACAGGCCAGGCTGGTGATGTGAGGGCTGGAACCCGGCTGGCTGCAAGGCCGTGGAGAGACACCAGCCTCATTGAGGGTGGCAGCCAAGGCTCAGCCCCAACTGAGTGTCACTGGTGGGAACGGGGACCTGGTATTGCCATATTTTCCAACCAGAAGTCAGGATTGTTGTGGAAAATTTACTTGGCTTTTTGACCAAGTAAAACACTTGGGTTGGATTTGGGCTTCACAGCCTCTGATCTGAGATTCAAGTGGATTATTTTGCCTTTGATGTTAGTGGCACTGGCTCTGGTGGGGGAGCCTGGGGATGAGGGAGTGAGGGTGGTCTCTGCAGTGTCCCCTGCAGGAGATGAGACTCCAGAACACAGTGGATTGTTTTGCCTTTGGTGTTACTGGCACTGGCTCTGGTTGGGGAGCCTGTGGATGCGAGCGAGGCTGGTGTCTCTGTAGTGCCCCCTGCAGGAGATGCGACTCCAGAAGAACACAGTGGACCTCCTCCCAAAGCTCCGGACCATGGCACTGGCCGACAGAGCTGTGTTCGAGAAGGGCATGAGGGCGTTTGTGTCGTTTGTCCAGGCGTACGCGAAGCATGAGTGCAGCCTCATCTTCAGGCTGAAGGGTGAGTGGGACTCCCCAGACGACTGTCTCCATCCGAGGCAGCTGCACTTTTGAGTGATTACAGTGAATCCATTAGATGGTTTGGCTAGAGAAATGGTCTTGCTCAGGATCGTCCGCAGGCTGGTCTCGGACTCCTGCCTTGGGTGTACTCACTCTGGCGTTTTGGTTTAATCAGATCTGGATTTCGCTGCGCTTGCTCGAGGCTTTGCCCTGCTGAAGATGCCTAAGATGCCAGAGCTGCGAGGAAAGCAGTTTCCGGACTTTGTTCCCGTGGACATTAACACAGACACCATCCCATTTAAAGACAAAATCAGGGAAAAGCAGAGGCAGAAACGGCTGGAGCAGCAGAGAAAAGAGAAGACGGAAAACGAAGGGAGGAGGAAATTCATAAAAAATAAACCGTGGTCGAAGCAGAAAGCCAAAAAGGAAAAGAAAAAGATGAATAAGAAACGGAGGAGGGAGGAGGTAAAGCCTGTCGCTTCACTCCTTCCACGTCCGCCTTGGCGGGCGAACCAGTCCCGTGGAAAGAGTGTCTTCTAGCAGGAACCGCACGGGGCTCACATCCTGCGTTACGTTGGTGATGGGGGGATGCGCTGTTTGTGGGAGCTGATCTGAGAGCTGCTTCTGATTAGGTTGCTGGTGTTACCCGGGACCCCGTGGCTGAGAAATTCAGGGGTTTGCTGTCTCTTCTGCACCTAGGGCTCTGATACTGAAGATGAGGACTTGGAGGAGCTTCTCAGTGACACACGGCTACTGAAGAAGTTTAAGAAAGGCAAAATCACCGAAGAAGAACTCGAGAAGGGGTTGCTGACAAGTGCCAAAGGGTCGATCAGGATGGCAGATTTGGGGACCTTGGACTTGGACGAGGACTGCTGATTTCAGAACCTCAGGTGAGCCACAGGAGCACCCGCCCCACACGTGGCAGGTAGCTCACGTCGGCTCTCCCTGCGATCAGGGCCTTGGCAGACATGCTGTCATTTCAGGCTGGGGAGACAGGCCGGGGCTCTCACACTCATGACTATTTGTCTAAAAACATTCCAGCCCTGAACAGAAGATGTAAGTTATTTAGTGTAAATAACATGTCAATATTTATTTTAATAGGGAAGAGCTCACTTTTCTGGGCTTATTTTATACTTATTTTTAATATGCTGATACTGAAGTGGACTTGACTTCTAGCCTTTTAAAGTTCCCGTGTTTTCAGGCACCTGACTCCCCAGGCACCCTTGCCCCTGGGCTGCGTTATCTCCAGTGCACAGGACACCGGTGCAGGATGTCCTGTAGTCTAGGGTTTTCTTTCTTTCCTGAGAGTAGTCCTTAGTGCTGTTTTGTTGGGGAGTATCTGAAAAACCGAGGAAGCTAGTCATATCCTGGGAAAGAAAGTGATGCCCTCTGTTGAATAAACTGTACTTCCTTCTAATTATGTTCTCATGTCTGAACGTCACTGCACCAAGACGGCCAGTGCAATTGGGCCTGACCCAGCTGTCAGTACTGATGCGAAACCACGTCAAAATCTTTCATGTCATTTATTTGAAGAGGTCCTGAATTTTTCCCCAAACCTGTTGAGATTTACATCTTTCCCAGATTCAGGATTTACGTTTACAGATGTCCTGGAGGCATTTTTCTAAGTGGCGGGCTGTGCAGGAGACTCTGCTAAATGTCATTCCTGCCTTCCTCAGGTTCTCTGTATGGTTTCCACTCTGTTTGGCTCGATCGTGTCCAGGGGACGGTAGCCCCTGGCCCCTATTCACTGTGGGAAGCCTGATGCCAGCTGAGCAGGTGTTTCCTGTAAGGCACCACGTGCAACCTGTGGCCTGGGCAGTTGTTAGTTATAGGGGGCGCCTGGCACAGCGAGAAACACCTGCTTTTCTAGGCCTGAGTCTCTCTAACAGGTGCTTTTGGCAAATTACTGTCCTGCAGAGGGAGGTGGGGGAGGGGTCTGAAAGGTTAGGTAGCCAATAATCTAACTTGTATTTCTGGGAACAGGAAATGAATGAAAGTGTCTGGAAACCATCAGTGCAATTTAGGTCGAGTTTTAGGGGAACCATGAACATGTTAAATGGGCCTGAAATGAATACAAAATTCACCAAGGCATGATTTCAAGTCCTCAGTCCCTAAATCTTCATTAAAAAACAGTTCTGTTTTGGCCTGGCTCACGGAGGGGCGAAGGGGCTACTCCTCCCCACCGCAGCTACATCCACTGTGCGAGGCAGGAAGGGATCAGTGGTTACAGGTACAGCTTAATGAGTTCGTCGCTGACCGCAGACGGCGTCAGCACCCCCAAGTCTGTGAACAGCAGTGTTATTAAGGAAGGGGGGCTGTAGTCGACCCATGGGTGCTCCTCTCTGAGGTCCTGTCCAGTCTGCACAGACTTCAGAGTGTCGGCCTTATACTGAGGAGACAGGAAGCATGCGTTAGTCCACCCTGTGCCCCTACATGCTCAGGGCTCTGCGTTGGGGAGGCCCTGGCCCCAGCAAGGAGTGTGCAGCTGTCTGACCGTGCTCTCTGCAAATATGGAGAGGCCAGCTGAGCAGCACACTGACGAGGAGGCCAGTATGGCTGCGGTGGGCCAGGTCATGGTGACTGCTTGGCCACAGAAACCACCATGTGTCCCCTCATTATGTGCTGGATGAACTCCAGACCCTCAAGGTCACAGCATTTACAAAGCATGTACCACATGCCAGGCACTGTGCTCAGCTCTGCCAATGATGGTCTCAGCATTGTTGTAACTGCTAATACTCTTTTCCCCTATACAGATAACTGAAGTTCAGAACTTAAGGTGAAAGGACTTGCCCGAGGCCACATGGTCAGTAAGTGTAGAACAGGGAGCTGAGTCCAGTCTCCAGAGCTTGCACTGCTCACCACCAGCCCTCCCGGCCTCCTCAGCTCGTACCGGAGGTCTCAGTTTAAACTCAAACACCCTTCAGATACATAAAACTCGTGCCTTAAACTTATCTGGGACATCTTGCTGGTTCAGGGGGAAGAGCCGCACAAACTTGAAACTTTCCGCGACCACATAGAAAGGCTTGTTCTGTGCTTTGGCGCACACGGCCATCTGGTTGGTTCCAATCTGGGAGGTCAGGGGAGGAGGAGACAGGTGAGAGCTACAGCACATCTCAAGGGGAAGCTCGATGCATGACACTGCGTCACGTCCTGGGTCTGCGGTGCATCCCCACGCCTTCAACAAGGAACTGGGGAGAGCTGAGGCTCCTACCTTGTTAATAATTCCTCCATTTTCAACCACGCCTTCGGCACCAACTATGACAAGATCCACTTTCTCCATGATATACCTAAGGAAGTAAAAGTTTATGCTAGTTGCTCGGCTCTTGTTAGCAGCAGCACCTGCCAAGATGAATGTTCGTTTCCACATGTTGAGATCCTTTTGTAACTAACTTGCTTCAAAAGGGCACTTAACACACGAGACACCTCTGACACTGTTGCCAGTTCTGTGACCAGGGCATTCAAACCAGTTTTGACCACGACCCCACTTCACACTGCCACCCAGCACGTGCACACATGTGGGTACCTGGAGCAAGACCCTCAAGACCTGGTATTCACCGTTCCTGCATCTGGTGCACTGCGCTCTGTTCTGCCTCCACACACACAAAACTGAGACTCAGAGGCCCGATGTGATCTTTCAGGTGGGCTGAAGGCCAATTTCCCTTTTAAAGGGACCCATTAGAATTCTTCAAAATGCTCCCTCTCGAACACATTCCCGATTTCACCATGCATCTGCCTTACGTGTTTTCTCCATAAGAGACTGTCACTCATTTCCTCTCATGAGATTCACTGACATGACCTCGGATTAAGTACGTGGATGAAATGTATCCGACGGCCCGGGGAGCACAGCCGTGTGCTGACAGCCCAACCTTTGCGCTTTGCTCTTTAAATAACTATAATGCTGCACAAATGACCCCCCCCCCCCC